TATGTAGTATGTTGTGAAGAGATGAAAATGAATCAAGGTGGGAAATGTTAATATGATCAGTTTGAGTGATTCAATTTAAAGTGAAGACGTTAGTTTGTTGTATGAACCGGGAATTGAATGAACTGGTTATGTCAGATTGAAGCTGGTTTTATGAAGTGAGTGAAACGCAGAATTTAGAGAAGGAAGAGTAAAGTGAATCCTCTTATCGCGAGATAGGGTTTGCCGTTAAAGGTTGGAGGTTGGAAGCACTATAAATGCTTCATGCTTCATCTTCTTCGTCTCCAAGGTGACGAACCCATATTCCCTCATTGTTGAGTGTGGATTGTTCATGTGTTTGAGCTCTGTATCTTCATCTTAGATCAATATATTGTTGGATCTCGTGTTCGAACTGGGTTAAAAATCTCGTGTGTTTCTTTCTTGTGTTTTGCTTCTTTGATCTTACAAACGAGAGACGAAACGGAGAGGTAGTGAGATAAATCGATATACAAAAACAAACGAACCATTAACGTGCTATTTCATAACGAATATAAGCTCGAACATTGATCTAAAACGTAACATAGCGTAATTATTATTATTATTTTTTTTTCTTTCGAATAATTGTAAAAATATTATTTAGTCAAAAACTATTTTTTACAACAAGTGTTACTATAAGTCGAAGAAAGTTTGAAACAAATCCAAAACCTAGAGCCAATTACTGTAGTTACTTCATTGTTCGATTGCTTCTTGACGTTTGTTCGATAAGGGAGAAGATTTCACTTTCTCATACTATTTTGGAGAAGCTTTCTAAACCTTTTAACTACTGTTTTTATTGAATATGGATTTGCTTATTGCTTTTGCTTTGCTTTTCATATCTATGATTGAGTAGTTCCTTTGTTGAGTTCTAGGGGAATCAATTCGAGGGGTTTTCATGGTTCGGTGATAGGATTTATGAACGAGAGTGGCCCTTTTATTAGGTTTAAGTACTCTTTCATCTTGATCATGCTTGATATAAGTTTTAAGGTCTGATCTCCTTGAAACAGATGTTAGATAAAGTATATAGTTCTAACCGTTTCAATTACTTGTCTGAAAAAGATGTTTGATGAGTTCGATTCTATAGGAAGACGAGAGTTAGATCTTTAGGATTGAATGAACAATTGAACCTGTTTGCAATTGCAATAGATCTTAGTCTTCATCGCTGCGAGAGTAGATTGATAAGACTAGTTCAAAATAGTAGCTAAGATCGCGAGAACCTGATTAGTTTATTATACGTTCATGTTCTAGGAGGAAAACCGAATCAATTGTCTCTAGGAATTACCTGAATAATTCGAACTATTTTTTACAACAAGTGTTACTATAAGTCGAAGAAAAGTTTGAAACAAATCCAAAACCTAGAGCCAATTTCTTGTAAGAAAAACAAAGGAAGATCGTTGGTTTCAAGGTCTTTGGGTGTCAAACCATTCGATTATAGCCCGTTATTATAAGAGAAATCTCCTATAATGCGTATCAAACACAACATGTTTCGCACATTCTTGTCAACTATTTTGACGATCGGAGATGGAGAAGATGGTTCTTCGCCATGACAACGCTTTAACGGTCTCGCCAAAGAGTATACAACATAGTTTGGAAGGTGTATCGCAAGAATAACTTGAGTTTGGGGAGATGTGAGCTATATAAGAGACTTACAACTTGTTCCCAATCAGCTGTGTAGTTCGAAGATAGTAACTTTTTGGTTAAAATACTCCATACTTGAGAGGAGTACGAACATGAGAAGAAGAAGATGTGGTTTCTCGATTCCAACTGATTTTCACAGAGACGACAATCAGTTCTCATACCCGTGTTCCAAGCTATCATCGTTTCCTTTGA